TTTTTTAGATATCCACAAAATTAGGTAAATACTTCCCAATTTAAGATTTGGTTTTTTAAATTTAATTGGCCACAGAAAATTACAGTATTTTCTCGATTAATTCCCCATGGAAATTAATATTTCAATCCATCCATGGAAAGGGGAAGTATCCAAGAGAGGAAATATTCGAGTTTCGAAATTTGGGGGTGGGGAATTATTCTCTCAATCCATCACTAGCATGCGGAATTAATCGAAAGTTTATTAACCAAGAAAGCCCCAACAAACGGTATGATTTTTTGACCCCGAGTGGACATCTAAAAATGAGGTTCGAATATATTTTTTGATTAAAAACAAACATCTGCTGTGTATGGTGGGTCACATTTACATTTTGAATATTCATCGTGTTTGTAATCATTATATCTTAAATATTTATTTTATAAATTATTTTATTTCGCTACTCGTTGGAGAGGTTAATTAAGGCTAGAGGTGGTAATTAATTGAGAGAGGACAGTTATTCTTCAAAATTCCACTATTTATTAATAGATTTATCATTGATAATAGAGTTCGGACCGAGACGGGACTTCGAATAGAAATCTCAATTAAATATTTAATTTTAAATAATACAAAAATAACCACCTCATTAATTCCCTTAATGTTTCCATATCTTTAACTTTATTATGATCCCTTTGAAATATTTTAGCTCTAGGTGAATAACCCCAACGCCACCAATTATTAATATTAGCTTTTTCAGTAAATCCACCCAAATCAGAAATTTTCTTTAAAAATGGAATATTATATGATGGCCAATAATTATATTTCCTTAAAAACCAAGTCATATCTCTGCTTACTGTTGTACCACTTTAAAAAAAAGAAAAAAAATATATTAATTTTTATAAAAATAATTTTTAACGGTATTTGTTCAAGAATCCAAAACAAATCATTTCTAGGCAATTCTTCTCCAGGTTTAAATAATTTATAGTCCAGGACCTGAAATTTATTTTATAATATTAATTCAATTATTCTTCAACAAGTTGTAAAAAAATACTTGCCATCCATTGATTATTTAATGTTCCAGAATTAAAACTAAAAATTTATTTAATTAAAAAATTTTTTATAAATAATTATTAAATTTTAGTCAAAATAGTTGAAAAAAATTTACCGTCCAAAAATAAGAACCCATTCATGTGAAGTTTTTGCCAGTTGATTAGCAATAAATGAACGAAGCCAGCAACTAAGTTGGCCAATCGGGTTTATATTTGAATAAATAGATTCGTCTGAAAGGGTAATTGTTGTCTCTAAAATTCCCTAAAATTAATTAATTATAACGTTAAATTATTGAAAACCTCGTGCCCCGAACGCCTTTAAGCCTTCGGGGTACGAACCTAATACATATTAACTTACCAATCCACCACTTGTCAATGAAAAATCGTCTTGAGAAGTTACTGAACCTGGATAGCTGGAAATTGAAATTGTATGTCCCGGTACTTCTTTTGGATCTTTAATTTAATATTTAAAAATATTAAACTGTCATATTTACCATAAGCCAATTTATATAATTTTAACATTCTATTCATTGATTTATATCCAAGCATGGTTACATGAGATATTAAGCTATTAAATTAAATTATTTTAATTGAAGAAAAAATAAAGATTGGGTTAATTACAACTAAATTATCTACTGATATTCCAATTAAACTCTTAGAATTATTAAAGAATAATTTCAGTTAAGATAATTAATTCATAAAAATCACTGACATGTCTTTATTTCCTTCAAGTACTTTAACAAATCCAGAGCAATGACTATTTGAGGAATAATTAGATTTAGGTTTTTTAAAAACTCTATCCAAATCAAAAAAATCTCCGGCCATTTGTATTTTTAAAATAGGAGTAATTGCAAATCTAACTCTTGAAAAATAAAAAGGTTTTTCTGGGCCATAACCTAAAAAATAATTTTTGAAATAAAAAATTTCAAACACCCAACCGTCTTGAATTCCAGTAAGTTGGGTATATGTCTAAAAATTGTAATTAGAAATAAATTTAATTTAATAATTACTAAATTAACATGCCGCCAATATAAATCTGTTGGAGGGTTTGACATAACCTTAAAAAATATTTTTTAATTAAATTCTTTAAAATTTGCCTGTGATTCAATCCATTCTAAATTCAACTTAAGATAGTTAAATAATTTTAAACAATATTCTTTAGCATTTTTACATAATTGGCTAACAGTATTTAAATAATGATAGTAAATTTGTACTTTTGTTAATAAACCTTTAAATTAGAAATTCATTTAAATATATTCAAATAAACACCTTCAACAAGTCCAGCTGCATATGCTTGCATTTCTACTGGAAAATTTGGAAAGGTTTCAACTTCAAGAATACCCCATCTAAATAAATATATGTAATTAAAATAATTTAAAGTTAATTTCAATTGTTAATTTTCAATTATATAATATTCAATTATATAACTTCAGAAAACTGAAGAATCTAACTTAATCTAAATTCACTAATTGAAACACCCTACAACATTCTCTGGTAAAGCAGCACTCAGAGATTGTATTAAAAACTAGTTCATTCATTTTAAGTATTTACATTACAGACCGAACCGAGACAAGATTTCGAACAAATTCTCGGTTATCGAGATCGGCATTTGATCGAAATACCTATCACAATTCTCGACTAACACTCCCATTTCGGACACTAATTTTTCTAATCTTGTTTAATTTAAATTTAAATAACCCAGTCTCATTTTGTGCATTTCTATATTTTCCAACGGCAACAGTATAATTATCAGGACATTTTTGAACACTTCCTTCTAATTTATACAAAATAGGTAATGACTCATTACTACAAATATACATAATTCTATATCCAAATAATTTATTTAATTTTGATTTATTTGATAAATATTTTGTTGAAAAATATTTTTGCTGTGAACTAAAAAATAATTATTTTTAATTAATTAAATAATTAATTAATACTTTTCCAATTTTTCAAAATTTAAAGATTCAATTAAATTATTTTCATCCCAAATATCATTATTTAAATCTCTTAATGATAACACAAAAGTAGCCAATGAAATAATTAAAATAAATATTAAAATATATTTTAATTTCATCTAAAATTAATTATTAAACAGACAACAAATAAATTAAAGGTTATAAAAAGAAATAAGTTATGTAACCTCCTTCAATAACTACCCTTGGTAATTATTGTTTCCGCTGGAGGAAGTAATTAGGTTTGAAATCTGAGCGTGTTTTAATCCATCGCTGTATGGGGTAATTAATGGAAGTAATGTAATTATTTGAGGGAGGGCAATTAATACAGGTTATACTGTATTTAAAATATATTAATTAATTCATTTATTTGCGTAAACAACTTTTCGCGTTTATAGGGATGAAAAATACAAATATAGTGTAATGTATTTTTAAAAATTAAGGATGTAGAAATTAATTTTTGGTAGACAAAAACTTTAATTTTGTAAAGTTTAAACAATTATTTTTACAAAATTAAATACCTATCTATTATTTAAAAAAATAGAATTGATTACAAAATACTATATTTATTTGCTAAAAATTATTTAAGACTATTTTTTATATTATTTGTGCAAAATTTATAATTGTTTATTTAGCTTTTACTGATAAAATCATTTTTATCTTTTTTTATTAATTTTATTTGTATTACACAATTTACTGATTAAATTAAATATTTATTGCTTTATATTATTTAGATTTTATCTAATTTTATTTTTATCTATTTATTTCGATTTTTAAAAATTTGAAAAATACTGTTTATTTTAATTGCACATACACAGTATGTAATTTGAAAGGAATTTTTTAATTACAATTTAAATTTATATTAGATTTATGTATTTTTTAAATAAACAATGATTTTAATCTTATACCGTCCCAATCATCTTTTTTAACACGAGGGGGATTTTGTACATAATAGAGAGGCATTTAGGTAATTACCATTGTAGGGATCAGACTTGACAAAGTTAAAATTAAATTCAAAAAATTTCAATTTTGACCGACTTTTGTAAGATATCGAAAAATAATTCTGATCAAAATTTACAAAAATCTTTGATAAATTTTGATTTTGACCAATCCCTGCATAATATCCAGTAAATATCTACAAGATTAAAATTAACATTGTTTTTCACTTTTTAATAAATTTATTATCAATATTTCTCAATCCATTTCCATAACTTTTCATTATTATTAATTTCTTCCCTCTTCTCCTTCTCCATCATTATTTAATTGTTTAATAGCTTTATTTATATTTTCATTAATTTTTAATTCATTAATTTCTTTAATTGATTCATTAGATATTTTAGCAGCAATATAACATTGATGAATAGATATTAAAGCTATTTCTTTCTTTTTTTCTTTTAAACTTTCAGCAGAATTTAAATTAAATATTTCAATGTCTCTAAAAACAATTTCCCCATATTTTTTTACTTTTTCAAAAAAATATTCTTTGCAATCCTCCCCCTCCTGTAAAGTTTTTCCTCTTCCCAAATTACATAAATAACTAGCTAAACAATTTAAAGTTATTGTTCCATAATATTTAATTTTAATATAATCCCAAAAAGTGCTGTGAATATATGAAATTAATTTTTCTAAAATTTTTTGTATTAATTCATCAAAATCCCCTATTGAAGGTTTTGCTTTGCCTTTTATTATTCTTATTATTTTTTTCCATAATTTATCCCTTTTATTTTTTTCAAATCTTTTTTTGCGAGTAATTAATGACCAAAGGTCAATTATTCTTTCATAAAAAAGTAATTTATTTATTCCAAGTAATTCATCTGTTTCTATTTGGAATGGACCTGAAAAAATAATTTTAAATTGTAAAACAGAAGAATTAGAATGAGTGTGAAGATGAAAGGGTTATATTCTGTTTACACTAAATATACTCCCGGCACCCATTTGCCAACTATATTAAAGAATGTGGCGAAAATTATGGTATATATCTGTTACTATTTAATTGAGGTCTCTAACTGTATTAAAACGATATTCAAACAATTTTCATAATTTTTAAAATCAAACCAATATATCTTTTTTGTGAAAAATCCTCAGGTTCGTAATTCAATTCCCATGGATATTCTCTCAACTTTTGCCAATCACTTTCTTTATTAAAACCTAATTTTTTCTTTATATTTTGTACAAAATTAAATAAAATATTAATTCTATCATCTTCAAATTCAATAATAAGTCCTTTATTTTCAGCAATTTCCTTTACTTCTTCAATTTCATCTTTTTCAATTTCATTTGGTATCTCTTCATTATTATATTTAAATTCATTCAATTCTTCTTCATTTTGAATAATGTCTTTACCTTTTCCTTTTTGGTTATAAACTTGACTTGTACTTCCAACATTATTTGAAGATCCTTTTAATCGGAAAAAGTAATCAAGTTGTGGAATATTCAAAAAAGGGCCTTCAAAGAATTGAATTAATACAGCAAATAAACAAATATCTGCCTGAAAAAATATTTGTTTGTTTTCAATTTTTGTAAATAAAAACTAGGGTTAAACGGTATCGGGATCACGACAGATATCGGGTGGTATTTTTGAATCCCGATACTGCTTAACTCTAATATAAACTAACATTTGTAGGTTCTTCTCCAAAAATAAAATAATTTCCAACAATCATTTCTCCAATCAAAGATAAATTTTTATCAAAATTTTTGATAACTTTATTAATTGTCTTAATTTTTTTATTGGAAGAAATTTGTTTAATTAACTAAAAAATAAAAATTTTAAAGTAAAAATAATTAAATTCCAACCATATTTTCAAAATTATTTCCTCCTTCAATTAAATATTTTTTAACAATATTTTCAATCCATTCATTCTTTGTATCAATAAAAACACTCCAGTACTTCAAATCAAATATTTGTTTATTTCCCCCTTTTACTAATTTATCAATATATTTATCAAAAAATAATTTAATATCCTTATCATCCTTTTCGTGTTTTTCAACTCCTTTTTCCAAACAAAAAAGTTCATTCCAAAATTGTTCATCTATTTTAACCAGAAAAGCTTCATTGTCATTAATTTCAATTATTTGGGGTTTTTTATAAAGTTCTTCCAATTTAGGCAACAATTGTTGATGTATAGCTTTATCTTTTGCTAAAAAATCAAATCCTCCATTTCCTTTTAAATCTCTAGTTGTTCTGTCTTTTATTAAAATTCTAGAAAAAATTTATTTAATTTAAAGGGAAAAAACATACGGAAATAATATATTATCAACAATTTCTTCAACCTTTTTTTCATTTTTATTTTCGGCTAAAGGTTTTCCTAAATGTTTTAATTTATTTATAATATTTTCCATTCCTTCAATAAAATCTCCATTAAATTGAATAAATGGAACTTGGCCATTTTGAGGAGAACCAAGTTTAAATTGGTTATTAATTCTCTTTAAAAATAAATATTATTTCTGAAATTAAAGATATTTTCTTTTTATTAATAAAATCTCGGTAATTTTTATATTTAATTTAATTGAAAAATAAGACTAACACCCTTTGATTTGACACACTTTGACTGATAACCCCCCCCCTTTTTTTCTTTCTATTTTTTATGATAATTATCATTCGACTCAGCTCTTCGAGATGAATCGAATGACACTAAATTAATTAAACAAAACAAAATCTCCATTTATGTTTATTTTAAAAATAAAACAAACATAAAATTGAATTTCTTTTAATTTTAACCAAATTTCCAATTCAAAACAATTAACATCCAAATCGGGCAAAGAAGAAATTCTTGGATATCTAATTAAATAAACAACATTTTCTTTCCAATTTTCAACCAAAAGTTTTGGATTTTCTGTTCCATTTTCTATTGGATATTTTAATAATAAACCTTTTTTAAATTTAATTAAATTAATTTAAACAAAAAAAGCTTACAAAAAATATTTGAATTATTTACAATTATTATTAAAAATAATAAAAATAACATTTTAATTTAATAATTAATTAATTATTTTCTTTATTTTTTTTAATTATTTAAATTTACGAATGTTAATTTAAATATAAGGCTATAATTAAAATTACCTTTATTTTATATTTTGCCCTTTGTTAAAATTTACATAAATTAAAATTCTCACAATTAAAAAAATTAAATGTCTAATCAATCATGAGAAGCATTATTTAAATATTTTTCTTTAATTTTCAAAATATTTTTTTTTTAATTTTTAAATTTGTTGTGGGAAATTTAAGGAATTTAATTTATTAAATTTAAAAAAATATTGCATAAAGAAACTTTTAAATTCTCTTATTTTTAATTTTTTTAAAATGAGTTATTTACTGTTGGGTTGTCCAATTGTTTAATAACATATGAGAAAATATTTTTTAATTATTTTTATAGGCATTAGATTTTTTCTTGCTTTAACTTCCTTAAAAGTGCATAATGAGGTTATTTAGAATCAACGAAAGGCAAAAATAAAATTCTCAATAATATTTTAAAAAGTACAATTACTGAGAAAATTTGTTTTTAGAATCTTATTTTCATAAGTTTGTGTATTATGACACCGCTTATGTAGATGAAGACAATCAGATATTTTATCACACGTAGAAAATAGTTATGTAGAAACTAAGAGAAGAAGAACAAAGAACTATTGTTTGTCTTTTTTACTAAACTGTTTAAGGGCTCTCGTCTAGATGCAACATAATTATATAAATAAAATTTTTATAATAAAATTTTATTATATAAAAATATAATATAATTATATAGATATTAGTAATCAAAAAATTATCACAATTGTGATAAATAAATAATATTAAGGACAAGAAATTATATCAATTTCCAAGATAAAACATTCTTTAATTCTCTTAGATAACTTTCGATTTTTCTTTATTTAACAAAAATATTTTCTGAAATAAATAATTAATTTTAGATGAAATTAAAATATATTTCAATATTTATTTTAATTATTTTATTGGCTACTTTTGTATTATCATTAAGAGATTTAAATAATGATATTTGGGATGAAAATAATTTAATTGAATCTTTAAATTTAAAAAAATTGGAAAAGTATTAATTATTTAAGTAATTTAAAATAATTATTTTTATTTAGTTCACAACAAAAATATTTTTCAACAAAATATTTATCAAATAAATCAAAATTAAATAAATTATTTGGATATAGAATTATGTATATTTGTAGTAATGAGTCATTACCTATTTTATATAAATTAGAAGGAAGTGTTCAAAAATGTCCCGATAATTATACTGTTGCCGTTGGAAAATATAGAAATGCTCAAAATGAGACTGGGTTATTTAAATTAAACAAGATTATAAAAATTAGGGTCCGAATTGGGAGTGTCAATCGAGAATCGTGATCGGTATTTCGAACAGATTTCGATCTCGTTAACCGAGATTTCGTTCGAAATCTGTCTCGGTCTGTGTAAATACTTTAAATGGATAAAATATTTTTTGATACCATCTCTGAGTACCGCTTTAACACTGCTGTACGGCATTTCAATTAGTGAATTTAGATTACGTTATATTCTTCGGTTTTCTGATATACCTATATGTAATTGATAGAGTTTTTTAAAAAATAATTGATAGAGTTTTTAAAAAACCTAGAACTAATAATTATTACTCAAATAATCATTGCTCAGGATTTGTTAAAGTTAGAAAAATAACAATATTTTATTATTGAAAATTAATATTTAAAATTAACATTAAAATTTTTTAAAATTACATATATTTATTTAGATGGGGTATTCTTGAAGTTGAAACCTTTCCAAATTTTCCAGTAGAAATGCAGGCATATGCAGCTGGACTTGTTGAAGGTATTTATTTGAATATTTAAATATTTACCTATAACAATTTAAAGGTTTATTAACAAAAGTACAAATTCACTATCATTATTTAAATACTGTTAGCCAATTATGTAAAAATGCTAAAGAATATTGTTTAAAATTATTTAACTATCTTAAGTTGAATTTAGAATGGATTGAATCACAGGTAAATTTTAAAGAATTTAATTTAAAAAAATATTTTTTAAGGTTATGTCAAACCCTCCAACAGATTTATATTGGCGCCATGTTAATTTAGTAATTATTAAATTTAATTTTTATTTATTTTTTCCTGGAATTTTTAGACATATACCCAACTTACTGGAATTCAAGATGGTTGGGTATTTTTATAAAAAATTTTTAATTTAGAAATTATTTTTTAGGTTATGGCCCAGAAAAACAATTTTATTTTTCAAGAGTTAGATTTGCAATTACTCCAATTTTAAAAATACAAATGGCCGGAGAATTTTATGATTTGGATAGAGTTTTTAAAAAACCTAAAACTAATTATTCTTCAAATAGTCATTGCTCTGGATTTATTAAAGTACTTGAAGGAAATAAAGACATGTCTGTGAATTTTATGAATTAATTATCTAACTAAAACTAATTTAAATTATTCTTTAATAATTCTAAGAGTTTAATTGGATTATTAATAAATAATAAGTTGTAATTAACCTAATCCTTATTTAAAAACATAATTCTTTGATTGTCATTTTGATGATATCCGGCTTTCTACAACAACTGGAAACTAATCTTATGTGTATTTTTTCTTTCCTTTCGGGCCATTCACGAAGATTCTGAAATACCTATGTATAATATGATCTAAGTTGTACTCGATTTAAGTTCTCAATTATTTAACTTTACTTCTTTTTCTACTCAATCTAAACACTATTAAAATATATTTGAAGTCTAATGGCCCATGTAACAATGGCTGGTCTAAATACAATGAACAGAATATTAAAACTTTACAAATTTGCTTATGGTTTAACTAATTTCATTTTTTCTAACTAAAATTTTTATTTAATATCCTAATAATGTTCCCGGACATACTCTTGCTTTTTCTGGTTATCCAGCTTCTCTTGCATCACAGGATGATTTTACAATAACTAGTGCGGGATTGGTTTGTTTATATTAAATTATTTGATATCAAATAATATTTAATTAGCTTTCAATGGAGACAACAATAATTCTCGGAAATGAATCTATTTATTCTAATGTAAAACCAGAAGGTCAACTTCATTGTTGGGTTAGGTCATTTATTGCTAATTTATTGGCAAATACATCAAAGGATTGGATGACTATTTTTGGATTGTAATTTTTTTATTTAAATTTTTGATATAAAATTAAATTTTATAAGACTAATTTAATTATTTTAGTCACAATTCTGGGACATACAACAATCAATGGATGGCAAGTTTATATTTGTAAAATCGGTCTTAACATTAAATTAACCAAATTCACCTAAGCTTCACCTAGAGGGTTATTCATCTAGAGCTAAAATATTCACTTTAATATTCATATCTCTCACTTTAATATACGAATTTTTCTTTAATTTAGTTCACTCGCCATAATTTAAAATTCAATTATATAAACTCGTTTTATGATAATTTCTTCTTAAGGATGATAAAAATAAAAATTCTAAATATATTTGATAATTTCAGGTCCTCGACTATAAATTATTTAAACCTGGAGAGGAATTGCCTAAAAATGATTTGTTTTGGATTCTTGAACAAATACCGTTAAAAATTATTTTTATAAAAATTAATTTTCCTTTTGTTTTTTAAAGGGGCACAACAGTAAGCAGAGATATGACTTGGTTTTTAAGGAAATATAATTATTGGCCATCATATAATATTCCATTTTTAAAGAAAATTTCTGATTTGGGTGGATTTACTGAAAAAGCTAATATTAATAATTGGTGGCGTTGGGGTTATTCACCTAGAGCTAAAATATTTCAAAGAGATCATAATAAAGTTAAAGATATGGAAACATTAAGGGAATTAATGAGGTGGTTATTTTTATATTATTTAAAATTAAATATTTGACAAAAATATTAATTCAAATGAGATTTTTATTCGAGGTCCTGTCTTGGTCCGATCGGCATTATCAATGATAAATCTATTATTTTATACTTCCTCATATGTACTGTCCTCTCAATTAATTACCACCTCTAGCCTTAATTACCCTCTCCAACGAGTAGCGAAATAAAATAATCTATAAAATATTTAAGATATAATGATTACAAACACGATGAATATTCAAAATGTAAATGTGACCCACCATACACAGCAGATGTTTATTTTTGAAATAAATAAAAATATATTCGAACCTCATTTTTAGATGCTCACTCGGGGTTAAAAAAGCTTTCTTGGATAATAAACTCTCGATTAATTCCTCATGCCAGTGATGGATTGAAAGAATAATTCCCCACCCCCAAATTTCAAAACTCGAATATTTCCTCTCTCTCGAATACTTCTTCATTCGACGGATGGATCGAAATATAATTCCGCGGGGTAATTTTCTGTGGCCAGTCAAATTTAGAAAACATATCTTAAATTGTGGGAGTATTTACCTAATTTTGTGGATATTTAAAAAAGAGGTTCTTATTTATAATTTAAGGGAGGTATTTCTACAAGAAGTGATTTGAATCCATTAAATGGAACTTGGGAATTACCAGATATGGGGTTTAAAAATGAAGGAACTATCGACTATAAAGGAACTAATTATAAACTTTTTAATAAATTTCAATTTGAAGTTTGTAAATTTTTTTTGAATTTAAATTTAATTTTTATTTTAAGGTAATTGGAGGTCCAATTCATGGAGGTCCAAGTAATTTACCTCCTTTCAAGTTTGTTGCTTTTTTAACAAAAAAATTATTTATTAAATTAAAATTTATTTAGTTGGAAAAATACAACAATTGATGCTTTACATTATGGCCAACCAACCATTTGGAAATTTAACAATTTTACAATTGAATGGCAAACAGAACTTAAATAATAATTAAATATATTTACTATTTCGTTCGTAAATTATTATTTTTAGAATCATTAATTAAATAAAAATTGTTTCTTCCTTTTTTATCTTAAAAAAATATAATTATTCTTTGCTTACAAAAATTAAAGAAAATTAATTTTAGTAAAATACTATGTTAGTATTCTCTTAAATAAATTTTTAATATAGTAAATTGTTAGTTTATTTAAACATTTTAAATTATAAACTCTGAATTCTTAGAATATTTATGTAGAAAAAATTTTCTTTCAATTATTTCTAATTAAAAAAATTAATCTTTTAAATTAAAAATGAGCAACTTTTTATTTATTTTAAAAACAATAAATTTGTTTATTGACATTATTGGATTTTTACTTTACGGAAACATTGTTATATTGACGATTAAACATAAGTACTAAAATATTTTAAATAAATTAATTTAAAAAAAATTATTTTCAAGAAAACTCCACACTATTTGTCATATACTTCTCGGGTTATATTCAATTTGTCAATCCTTCTCCAAAATTATAATGTTAATACCTTATATTTTACAATATATTCTTCCAAATTTTGAAAAAAATTTTAAATTTATTTATTTTTGTATAATATTTAATATTATACCTTTTTCTTTTATGATGGGAGCTTTTACTTATATGTTGGCTATTGGAATTGATAGAATGTTGGGAATTTATTTTCCACTTTGGTAATAATTTTCTAGTGAAATTTAAAATAAAAGAATAAATATATTAGTCCATTTCCTAATCACATCCAGTTTTAAATGTTTAAATAAAATATTTAAATACCGTAAAAACTGTATTAATGTCCCTCCCTCAAATAATTACCCTGCCTGTATTAGTTACCCTCTCCAGCGAAAGGTTGAAACAATAATTACTCCCTTAAAAATCGTTATAATTAGCCTTTATAAAATAACCTATATTAATTCCCTGCCTCTATTTATTACCCCCTCCAGCAAGAGATCGAAACAATAATTACCCAGGGTAGTTAATACAGTTTTTACGGTACATATTTAAATTAAAGGTATAAACAAAAGAAAAGCAAACTTTACTGGTCTTTATTAACAATAACACCGTTACTTTATCCAACCTATAATACTTATATAGTTATTCAATCTTTAGTTGGAGGAAATAATTCGTTAGTTTTTAAATAATATAATTTAACCAATTAATATTCGGATACTCAAAAATAATTTTTGATGAAAATGTAAAAAGAATAAAAATATTTTTCAAATCAGAAAAAGGTGCTGAATACTTGAGGTTTCGGAATTTAGAGTTACGGAGATTTTTTTTATGAGTTCTGATTTCCAAAAGATATTACAAATCTGTTGTGTATAGCGAAGTCCCATTAAAGTTTATGAATTTAAAAAAATATAATTTAAAATCTAATAAAATTTAAATTTTAGTTTAACAAATTGTTTATTATTTTATATTGACAAGTTTGGAAAAATGTTTCCATTAATTTGTGTTATACTAACATTATTTTGTTATATAATTATTTTACTAAAAATAATTTTTGGGAAAGAAATTTTAGGTAAATTAATTATTTAATTAATTATTAATTTTTAAATTAAAAAAGATTTATCTATTCGAAAATTAATTTACAAATCTTTGGCTTTAATATTTCTTTTACAAATTTTTTGTTCAATTGTGAATTTAATTGTTCGTTTTTATGTTGAAAATTTAAATATTGTTAATTCTAATGAATTAGAAAAAATTGATATTTATTTTTCGATTACAACATCTATTGTAACAAATACAGAAGTTGTAGCTATTTTTATGACAAGGTAATTGAAATTAATTAATTTTAATTAAAAAAAATTTTCTTAGTAGTGAACATTTAAATGCATTAAAAATACAATTTAAATGGCTTTTAAAATATTTTAAAAAGAATGTAGTAGCCGATAACAATGTTGCTGTACTATTTACTAAAGTAAATATAAAACAGAATAATAATTTAAATAAGCAAATTGAAATTAATAAATTTTGATATAATTATAAGTATTTTTGTATATTTAAATTAATTGTCTTTAGTTTAAAGTTTTCTTTAATATTTTTTAAATTGATAAAAAAATTTTAATTATTTCCAAATAATTTATTTATTTAAAAAATATTTTTTAATAAAATCAATTTAATTATATTTGCACTTTTCTTTATTCATTTTCGGAAACTTAAAAAAAAAGTGCAATTAAATAAAAGTCTATATTCATTCAAAATTTTATTTTTAAATTTCATAATGTAAATATATGTAGACATACATATTTCTTTATCGGTGAAATAATTGGGCATTTATTTACATGCCAAAAATAAAAAAAATATTTCTTAAATTTTAATTAAATAAATAATTTTAGACATAAATATATTTCAAAATTAAATTTAAAATAAATTGAGGATTTTTTTTAATTTCTAAGAAGTTATTTAAAATGTTATTTTTATTATTTTCAATAATAATTTTAAATAATTCAAATATTTTTTGTAAGTTTTTTTTGTTTAAATTAATTTAATGTTAATTAAATTTAAAAAAAGGTTCATTATTAAAATATCCAATAGAAAATGGAACAGAAAATCCAAAACTTTTGGTTGAAAATTGGAAAGAAAATGTTGTTTATTTAATTAGATATTGTAAGGCGGATATCATCCTGAAAACACGTGAAGAGCAATGTCGCTCTAGTTAACGGAAGTTTGCAGGAAGGTGCAAAGAATATTACAAACGGCCATTCCCAGAGCGTTATTAGCCGCCTATTATCTAAGTTTATTATCGCCACTAACTTATCCTTGGGAAAGCAATAAGGAAGTAGGCTGGTGCATATAAGCTCTAATGGAATAGGCTAAGGCGGATCACTTCTTCATTCATTCAACAGAGTTGCCGGCCGGCCAATCCATCGAGTCTATAGGGAAGAGCTCTCCCTATATTCCCCTACTGCGTGCGATTCACCTATTTCTATACTCTGCGGAGTTCACACATGATTGCAACATGCGCGGCTCTGCTAATAACATCTACAATACAACAAGGCACTGGGGAACGGGACCAACCGCTTTACTGGTAGCACCGGATGGTTCCTCACCTTTTGCCGTAAAATTTGAGTTAAGAATAGGTCGGGGAATTTTAAGGATGGATTTTATTTTTATTATTGTGCACTCAAAATCCGCGGTTTAATTTTGATGAATGATAATTTATATAAGAAGAAAAATTTATTACGCTCAAAATCCTAGGTCCCCCCATTAGAATAATAAATTAATATTGAATGAAGATTTTATATAATATAAGGGGGTTAATTTTTAAGTGATCTATCCTCTGCGGAGGTCTTTTATGTTAAAAATTATTTTTTTATAATCAGTAAACCCCCATTTTGACATTAATTAATTTTTGAATGAAGATTTTATAAAATATTAGGGGGTAATTTTAAGAGTGATCTATCCTCTGCGGAGGCCATTTATATTAAATTTATTTTTTAAGAGGAAAATCATAAAAATAAAAGAATTATAATAATAGAAAAATAAACTAACAAATTATTTTTTCCTCAGTAACCCACATTTTTTGATATTAAATTAATATTTAAATGAAAAACCTAGAAAATATAACGGGGTTGATTTAAAAGTGATCTATCCTCTGCGGAGGCCAATTATATTATAAATTATTTTTATCATCAGAACCCCGCTTTCAATAAATTAATTTTTGAATGAAGAATTTAATAAAATATAGGGGGGTTAATTTTAGAGTGATCTATCCTCTGAGGAGGCCATTTACTTATTATACATAGAATAGGGAAATTAAAAAAAATTTTTATTGAATAAAGATTATAGAATTTAATGAAAATATTTAACCCTCTGAGGAGGCCATCCAAATAAATTATTTTAGGGAGAAATACATAAAAATTGCCTCTAGTCAGAAATACCGTTATATCATAAATCTGTGTTAATATTGGTTAAATGTTTAAAAAAATGCTGCGGCACTCTCTATCCTCTCTTTATGAACATTTTTTCATTGGACTATTATTTTCTGATAGTTCTTTATTAATCAATTGCAACTGAGCATCTCAAGAATGTCAACAAATTCAATGAATAACTACATATTTGACAACTTCAAATAAACTTGTTCTGCATCCCGCGGGATATTCAAAATTTATTAAGTGAATTTCAGTTATTTCATGAATTCAATACGAATTTTGGTAAATAATATTTTTTCAAAAATATAAAAATTTAAGAAAAAGAAATTTCCTTTCTTATTCCCGCAAAAAGAAAATAAAACATTGTTAGGAATTTTTATTTAATTTAAAATAATTATTTGTTTTAATTACTTTATTACAACGTTTCTCAGTAAAATCTCATTTCTTGTAAATTGACTTTCATTCTACATTTTTAAATTCACTTCTTTAAAAACATATAAACCCTGAGGGGTTCATCTACGATAAATAATCTTAAACATAATCTTTTTTGATCTCCATTAGACAATATCAAAATATTTGTTTTCGAAAATGGTAAAAAAATTTTCCCAAAGAAACTATAATATTTTAATAATTTTGCTCATAAAAAATTAAAAAAAAAATTTTTTTTCTTTAATAAATCATTCTTTTCAAAAAAACTTTCATATTGATTTTTACTTTCATCAAAACCCCGCGGGGTACATATATGTAAAATAATCAACAAAAAACAACTACTTGAAACATACTCTAGTGGCTGAAAACTTCAATCTAAAAATCGTAATAATTTAGTTATAAAAAAACTAAATCCTTGAAAGGCCTAGCAATATCTCTAAAACTTATCAAAACAATTTTTATTTGTTCCTCACGCATTTTGTTATCTATCTTTGAAAATTTTTTACATTTTATTTTCACAAGCACAAATTGCTTTATACAAATGTCCTTTTAGTGTAATCTTTCCATCTATATTCACATTACAATTTAATTCTCTCATTTATTCCACTTACGTTAGTTTTAACTGATTTTATTTTATCCCCGCGGGGTACAAAAAAATATGAACGATGTTTCCAGACAC